AGATTGAACTTGGATCCCCTGGACATGGGATTGCACCTCCTTACCCATGGGTGACTGGGCCTTTTTGAGGGGGAAATTGAGGCAGGCCAGCTTTGCTGGGGAGGCAGGGGAGGGTCCTGCTGTGGGAACCAGGAGGCCCAATTTCAGTGCCCCTGGGTCATCTGGACTCCCAGACCCTGGGTTCTTTTGTACAGTTACTTCTTTTATCATAAAATACAGATAACATTAAACACGTTTCACATAGTAGATAGAGTGTAACGAATAACTAAGCAAGGCCCTGGGTAACCACAAAAGAACATTGTCAGCTCCCAGGAGGCCGCCCCACTCTCTGTTACTCCTGAGTGGAACCACTCCTTTGGGATCTGTGTTTTCCTTGATTTTCTGCCTAGTTTTACAAGCAAGAAAGGCATCCCTACATAGTGTTGTTTTGCCTGTTTTGAACTTGCTGTGAGTGGAGTCATCTTTGATGTATGACTTTCTGCCTGGCTTCTTTCAGTCCGTAACATTCTCCTTCCCTGCTGGATTCAGCAGCAGCTCAGTCCTTTCTGTTGCTGAGTAGCGTTCTGCTTTGGATCTATGTGTTTTTTATCCATTCTCTTGTGGGTGGACTCCTGGTCTGCTACCAGTTTGGGGTTACTGTGAATATTGCCACTGTCAACATTGTAGTACAAGTCTTCCTCTAGAATGGAATTACATATACTGATTTCCTTGAGAGGCGTTGCTAGGTCATGGGGCGGCCGGATACTGAGCTTGAATTTTGACTGCTTAGCAGTTTTCCACAGTGATTGAGCCATTGCGCAACTCCCACCAATAGTGAATAAAGATTTTGATTCCTCTATGTCTTTGCCAACACTTGGCCTCATCGGTTTTTAAAATTGGAGCTGTCCCAGGTAGGTGGTTGTGATTTGCATTTCCCTGTAACTAATGAGATGATGTGTGTTTCTTGGTTGTGGGTATCCTCTCCTGTGAGGCGCTCTTGCTCTTTCCACCTTGCCTTCCTGGTGGCTTGCCTTGAGTCAACAGCTGCAGCTCTGGCCCAGGCCCTCAGAAGACTCATGCCCAGCCATCCCCAGTAGTGAATGGGGTGGGGTCATGCGGGGCCTCCCCTCTGCAGGGTGTGCTGCAGGGGTTCCACAGACGAGACTCTGTCCCCCAGCCTGGGTGTCCTCCATCGGCAGCTCCCCAGTGAGCAGGCCATCATCTTGGCTGCAGTGGCTGGTATTTCATCACCCCAGGACTGCGTCACGGACACCTCAGCTGAGGCGCCACCCTCAGTGGGAGGACAGGGCAGGATCCAGGCGGGACACGGGATCTTCCAGTTCCTCCCCCTGCGCTCCCTCCAGCTGTGCTGACTCCTTAGCTGCTGAAATGAGATGATAAAAAGTGGCTCTGTTGATCCCAGCAGCGGTCAGGGCCTCCACTGCTTCTCGGCTGGGAGACCCAAGGTAAACAGCTTCCCTTCTCTGAGCTTTTGTCTTCACCTGGGCGTGGTCACCGACTCTGGTGGGGTGTTGGGAGCGTTCAGGAGTGACTCCACGGGAGCGCCGGCACCCTGCCCAAGGCCACCAGCGGACGGTGGCTCTCGGACTCTGGAACCCTGCCCACTCTTCGCCACACCTGGCTGCCCTTGCTTCTCTGGAATAACGGCAGCCATGTGTTTGGCTGTTCGCCGAGCCCTGGGCCCACAGTGGGTGCTTTAGTGCTGCCGAGAGCCGAGGTGCTGCCTCATCACAAGGGCCCTGAGAGGTGATGTCCCTGGGGCGCTGTGGGCAAGCGGTACTGGAGATGAGACATGGTGCCCCGTTCTATTCCCTCCACATCAGCTCTTGCTTTGGACTCGGAGTTCTCCCTCCCAGCCATTTGGGAGTCTTTTGAACTGGGCTCGTGTCAGGGGAGGCGTGGTGTGGGTCTGTGGAGGGAGCGGGCTTCTCTAAGTCCTGGCTGTAGCCTAGAAGGCCTGAGCTTTCTCCCCCGCCCACCTCTCCCTGGCTTTCCCTCACCAGCCCCGCTCCTGCCTGAGGTCCTTGCATTTTTGTTTCCCTGAAATGCATTTCCTCGTGTGTCTACACAGCTCACTCCCTCACTTAACTCGGGTGTCTGCTCATGAGTCCCCCACACCAAGTTAACATGCTATTCTTCCCGCTCTTCAGCCTCCCCACCACCTGGCATTGTCATTTGCTTATCTGTATTTTTCTGCCCCTCCCACCAGACTGTGAGGCTCATGAAGGCAGGGCTGTGTCTTAGCGACGTTCTGTTGCTGGTACCATCCGGAGCCTAGGACGCACCCTAAAAAAGATTTGGTGGCATGAAGAGCATCTGGTAGTGTGTCTGGCTGTGTCTGGTCCTAGGGTAGGGGTCTGTCTGTTGGGGACACTTGGCTTCTTTCTTTTCTTTTGTTTTTTATTTTTTGAGGTGGAGTTTTGCTCTTGTTGCCATCCCAAGCTGGACTACAGTGGTGCAGTCTCAGCTCACCACGACCTCCGCCCTCCAGGTTCAGGCGATTCTTCTGTCTCAGCTTCCCAGGTACCTGGGAATATAGGCATATGCTACACTTCCGGCTAATTTTGTATTTTTAGTAGAGACAGGGTTTCTCCATGTTGATCAGGCTGGTCTCAAACTCCTGACCTCAGGTGATCTGCCCGCCTCAGCCTCCCAAAGTGCTGGGATTAGCTCAGGTGTGAGCTGCCACGCCCGGCCTTGGCTTCTTTCTTCATGTGCTCAGTAGTTACCAGACTCTTTGCTGGCCCACTGCATTAGCATTTATAGTTGTGGGGAGGGTTGCTCCAGGGGTTGCACAAAGAGCCCCCAGTGCAGCCTCTGAGGTGGGCAAGGCTTCCTGGAGGGGGCACTAGTTGAGCTGAGACCTCAAGGAAGAGGGAAAAGAACGCCCAGAAGGAGGCCCTGTCCCTGATGGAAGTCAGAGGGAAGTGCCTGAGTGACAGAATCGTAACTCGGAGAGTAGGGTGGGGAGGAGAGGCAGAGAGGTGCAGTAGTCAACATCATGCTCCTTAGGCTTTCCCTAGAGCTTTCTAGGTGCACGTCTCAGCTGATGCACCAGGAACACAGGGCTGCAGAGGCCACATCCTGAAGGGCCTTGGATCCCAAGCTGAGGAGTTTGGCTTTTTTGCTGGAATACCAGGGAGCCACAAAGGGTTTTGAGCAACCGAGAAGGACAGGTTCAGCACTGAGGGTCCCTCCAGCTGGTAAATGTGGGGCGAGTGGCAAGGGAGCAAGAGTGGAGTATAAGAACTCGGGGAAGAGGTGGGGGCAGACCCAACTAGAGCCAGGCCAGACCGAGGGCAGGATAAGAGGTGGTGACATTAGAGACTGACACAGAACAGTGGGAGATACAGAAATACATATTTATATATATATATTTTTTGTGACAGGGTCTCATTCTGTCACCCAGGCTGGAGTGCAGTGGTGCAGTCAAGGCTCATTGTAGCCTTGACCTCCCAGGCTCGAGTGATCCTCCTGCCTCAGCCTCTCAAGTAGCTGACAGTACAGGTGCATACCACCATGCCTAGCTAATTTTTAAACTTTTTTGTAGAAAAAAATTACGTAGTGAGACAGGGTCTTGCCCAGGCAGGTCTCAAATTCCTGGGCTCAAGGGATCCTCCCGCCTCGACCTCCCAAAATGTTAGGATTCCAGGTGTGAGCTGCTGTGCCTGGCTGAGATGTGGGGTGTTGAGGATTGAGAGTCTTGCCAGTCCTGTGTGTATGGGTTGTGGGGTGCCGGGCGTGCCACTGGCAAGGGGATTCCCTCGTTGCCGTCCCCGCCTCACGTCATTGGCTTTGCAGCCTGGAGTCTAGAGTGTGATCCTCATCCTCCTGTTCACTTCCCTGCCATTGTCCATCTTGTCTTTCCTCCCGCTTCCTCCCACTTACCTCCCTTCCTTCTGCCCGGGGCCTGGGCAGCATGCCACTGTCACATGCCAGGCAGTAGTGTGTCCGGCCCACCAGCTCCCCTGGGGCACGAGAGAAAGCTGATGCCCACGGTGTCCCTAGAGCCAGCTGCCACTTCTCTGGGGGCCACCGTAGCTCCTGACCTGCTGTCCGCAAATAACCCCAGGCTTGGAAAGGCAAAGGCGCCTTGGGCTCCATGGATCCTGGCCAGGCCCCAGGCTCCAGGTAGGGGCCCAGCTGGCGGCTGCCTCACGCCCTCCTCCCCTCTGCTCCGGGAACCTGAGACGAAGCAGTGGCCTCGGCGTCTGTCAGTCTGTCGGTTGCTGGTCCCTGAGGACAGAAGTGGAAGTCCTGGGGCAGGGACCAGGGCCTTGGTCAAGCCCCCGGAACTGGCTTCCAGGCCTGTCCAGACTGGGCATAAGCAGTAGGTTGCTTTCTTGTTCAAGATCCTGGAGTGTCTGAGACCTGTGTTTTCTGTCATCTGACAAGGGGAGGGAGGCTGTGGAGGCTTGGGAAGTGGCGTGGGATGGCATGGGGAGACGAGAGTGTGGTTGGTTTGTTAAAGGTGGCAGGTTGGTGGCTTCCTGGTTTGGAAAGAAGTGGTGGGGAGAGAAAGCGAGAGAGAGGAGTGCCTGTGTGTGTGTGTGTGTGTAAGATGGGGGTGCAGGCAGATGCTGGTGGTTCTGTGCTCTGCCTCAGGTACCCTGGGTTGTCTGATTTGTCCTGGGTCATTTCAGTGTTGGTCCATGGGAGTGACGTGGGGGTCACAGCACAGCTACCTTGATGCTCGCTCAGTCAGGAGTGACTGTGGGTGGAGGGGCCGCCTCCACCCAGCATGGGTGTCTGGAGTTTGGGGTCTGGCCTGCACTCAGGCTAGGGAGCTCTGCTTCCCCTTGATTAGGGTCCCTGGGGACATGACCACATCTCTTTGCTCAGAATGGGTCCTTGAGAACAGGGCTCCATGCCACCCTTGCTGGCCCTACCCTTTGCTGAGTGGGCAGAGCAGCCACAGGGCCTCAGAGCCCGGTGTCCTCAGGGAACGGGCTGGTGTGGAATCCCTTTCCTCCCTGACCACTTGCTCTCTTGTCTTGCAGACTGTGCCCTGTCCACGGTGCCTCCTGCATGTCCTGCTGCCCTGAGCTGTCCCGAGCTAGGTGACAGCGTGCCACGCTGCCACCATGAACGAGGTGTCTGTCATCAAAGAAGGCTGGCTCCACAAGCGCGGTAAGGGGCCGCTTCTGCCCACTGGATTGTGTCCTCCTCCCACCCTGGCTCCTCCTGGAAGCTGTGCCAGAGGTACAGCTGGAGTTTTTTTTTTTTTTTTTGCGACGGGGTTTCGCTGTTGTTACCCAGGCTGGACTGCAATGGCACGATCTCGGCTCACCGCAACCTCCGCCTCCTGGGTTCAAGCAATTCTCCTGCCTCAGCCTCCTAGTAGCTGGGATTACAGGCACGCGCCACCATGCCCAGCTAATTTTTGTATTTTTATTTATTTATTTATTTTTAAATTTTTTTATTTTTTAAATTTAATTTAATTTTATTTTTTTTGAGATGGAGTTTCGCTCTTGCTACCCAGGCTGGAGTGCAATGGCGTGATCTCGGCTCACCGCAACCTCCGCCTTCTGGGTTCAGGCAATTCTCCTGCCTCAGCCTCCTGAGTAGCTGGGATTACAGGCACGCGCCACCATGCCCAGCTAATTTTTTGTATTTTTAGTAGAGACAGGGTTTCACCATGTTGACCAGGATGGTCTTGATCTCTTGACCTCATGATCCACCCGCCTTGGCCTCCCAAAGTGCTGGGATTACAGGCTTGAGCCACCGCACCCGGCCTAATTTTGTATTTTTAGTAGAGACGGGGTTTCACCATGTTGACCAGGATAGTCTCGATCTCTTGACCTTGTGATCCACCCGCCTCGGCCTCCCAAAGTGCTGGGATTATAGGCCTGAGCCACTGTGCCTGACCTGAGGTGTAGGGTCTTACTGGCCTGAGGAGCCAGTGTGTTGCAGCCCCAGGTCTGCAGCTGCTTCGGACTCGTTTCATGGACTCCTTCAGTGGTCTCCTGGGCAGGAGAGCAGGGATCTACCTGTGCATGAGTGATCTCATTCATAGCCCCATTTTAAAGATGCAGAAACATGTATAAAGGGGAAGTCACGTAACTGAACAGTGAGACAGTATTCACTGGCTGTGTGTTGTGTGCCAGGTAGCCCTGGGCTGTGGGACACAGTGGTACCCTGATGGAGCTTACATTCCAGTGGGGATGGGGCAGACGTGGAATGTCGGGGTGGCAAGTGCTGGGGTGAAAATCGGGAACTGCGAGGGCCAACGGCTTGGAGAGAGCGGATATCGAGAGGCTGCCCTGAGCAGGCGGTGGTGGGAAGAGGCCTGGAGCCTGGAGGACAAAAGGGCAAGGCTGTCCCAGGGAGGAGCACACAAGGACGGAGGCTCTGAGGTGGGGCTGTGCCTAGTATGTTCTGGTAACAGCGTGGCTGGGGAATGTGAGCAACGGTGAGCAGAGGAGTAATGCGGGGTCTAGCTGTGTCGCGCCTGCAGGCCACAGAAAGGACCTTGGCTTTGGCGCTCCGGGTGAGAGCAACCCCGCAATGTCGTGAGCTGCTGCATGGCTTGATCCATTTGTACTAGTGGGAAGTCGAGGTCCCCTTTTAGTGAAGTTAGGATAGGGAAGAGACCGTTTTTGACCCCAGGGCTGCTTGTCCCCAAGTGGCTGCCAAGCAAGACTGGGAGGCACATGGGGAGAGGTGCCACGTGCTGAGAGGTGGTTTTGTCCCGGGCTGGTTTCCGTTGGCCTCTCCCTAGGAGGAAGGGCCCCAGGTGTGGGGGTGGTTGCCCTGTGTACACTTGCATTCATTCAGCAAACGTGCTGAGCAGCGCCTGTGGGCTGGGCCCTGTTCTAGGTCCTGGGATCCAGCAGTGAGCCAGATGGGCGGACATCCCATCCTCGTACTGGTATCTTGGGCGGTGATGGGGAGGCCGACAGCTCGAAGGCAGACAGGTGTGTACTGCAGTGGTGTGAGCCATGGAGAAAATTAACCAACGTGAGAAGGATGGAGGGCATGAGGCAGGCGGGATGGCCAGAGGGGGCTTTGCTGAGAAGGGGGCATCTGAATAAAGGCTTGAAGAAAGTAGGGGAGTGAGCCCCATGGTTATGTCAGAGGGGACAGCCAGTGAGTTCTGAGGGGGTAACCCGGCTTATTTGAAGAGGGGCGGGAGGCTGATGGCGCTCATGCTGTGGGCATCAGGAAGAGCCTGGGATCCTGCACTGTCCCAGCCTGCAGACAGGGAGCAGCGATGAGGGATGGAGGCCCCTTGCTGGGACAGCCTCCCCCTCTGACTGAGCAGAGGAGACCCATGTCCTGCTGTTCTTTCTGGACAGAGATGGCTTTCAAGGCCGCTTGGCCTAGTCCCCCAGCCTCAGCCTGCAGTTTGGGGTTGTTGATGGAGCTTCCTGAGCCTTGGGATATGTCAAGGTTCTAACCCTGGTTCTGCTGCTTCCTCTTGGTGCGACTGTGGGCGAGCCGTGTCAACTTTCTGGGCCTTGGTTTCACATCTGTAAAATGGGTTAACAAGCCAGGCCTCTGATATTGTCAGCTCCACAAGGGCAGACATTTTCATGTGGCTTCTTCACAGTGGTATCCCCGACATGTCTAAAAGTGGTGAGCATACAGTAGGCATTCAGTAAATGATGGCTGAATGAATGATTGGCATTGTGTATGGATGATGTGCTGGGGTACCTGGGGTCATGGGCTCCTGTCCCTTGGCCTGCACTTTGGGAGGCCGTAGCTCACTAGGCTGGACTGTGAGAGCCTTGGGATGGGTGCAGAACTGTTGGAGGGGAGGAGTTTCTCCCCGGTCAAGTGAGTCTTGGCCCCTCTTAGGCCTTCAATGTCCGCATTCATGCTACAGAGGGCCAGATGACCCAGCTACAGGCCTGCCCCTGTCATCTGGGATAGCCCAGCTCTGACACACCTGTCTATACACACACATGTGCACACCTGCACTCCTGGGCCGTCCCAGTGCCCATCTTTCTGAGTAGTAGCTGGCAGAGGTGGGTGAGGCAAGGTGGGCCCTGCTGGCTACTGCTGTTTTGAGTAGCAACAACATGGTGTTTTGAGACAGGGTCTTGCACTGTCGCCCGGGCTGCTATGCAGTGGTGGAACCTTGGCTTATGGCTTACTGCAGCCACAACCTCCTGGTCTCAAGTGATTCTCCTACCTCAGCCTCTAGAGTAGCTGGGACTATAGGCAGCTACACCCCACTCCCACCCTTGGTAGTTAAAATAATAGCAGTGCTGGTTTACTGAGTACTTACTGTGTGCCAAACACTGGGCTCTGCTCTAGGCAAGCCTGATGTTGAATTTTCATAGATGCCCTGTGGGGCACGTGCCACCTTAGAGACTGGAAGGCTGAGGCTCAGTAGGAAGAGTGACTTGTTTGAGGTTTCAGCAAGGAGTGAGTACAACTGAGGTTGGACTCAGTCCCTCTGACACCTGAACCAGTGCTCTCAAGGCCTGGCCCATGTGCTGCCTCTCACCCAGCAAGCTGTGCTTAAGGCCTAGAGTGTAGTGATGGTACGTCGAATCAGAGTCACTCATATGCTGGTCCCACTTCTGACACAGCTGTAGCACACCACCACTAGCAGAGCATCTGCCCTCTGTCAGGCCCCATGCCAGGCCCCATCTGCCAGTTTAGAGGCAGACAGTGCAGTAGTCGAGATGTGGGCTGTTTTCTCCAATCCTAGCTTTCCTGGGTAACAACTGGGAAGCTTGCGCAAAGTAATAGGACCTCTCTGTGACTCAGTTTCTTCATTTGCGAAATAGGAATACAATTGTGAGAATATTTTTGCTTCTCCCTCTTTTTGTTTTCCCCATAGAAATGGGGTCTTGCTATGTTGCCCAGGTGGGTCTCGAACTCCTAGCCTCAAGTGATTCTCCTGTCTTGGCCTCCCAAAGTGCTGAGATTACAGGCATGAGCCAGTGTGTCTGGCCTTTAGTTTTATTTTCTTAGCTTGTTACCAAATTATGAAAGGCCACAGATAAATGCCTAGATAATAAAGTCACCCCAATCTCAGTGTACAGTTCAAGAAACAGAATGAGACAGTTCCCAGAAACTCTTGTGCCTTTCCCCACCAGGAACCACTCTCCTAACCCCAGTAACACAGATAAGGTTGTTTTTAGTATTTATCTTTTTTTCTTTTTTTGAGACGGAGTTTCGCTCTTGTTACCCAGGCTGGAGTGCAATGGCACGATCTCGGCTCACCGCAACCTCCGCCTTCTGGGTTCAGGCAATTCTCCTGCCTCAGCCTCCTGAGTAGCTGGGATTACAGGCACGCGCCACCGTGCCCAGCTAATTTTTTGTATTTTTAATAGAGACGGGGTTTCACCATGTTGACCAGGATGGTCTCAATCTCTTGACCTTGTGATCCACCTGCCTCAGCCTCCCAAAGTGCTGGGATTACAGGCATGAGCCCCCACACCCAGCCCTTTTTTTTAAATAAAAGGAGATGAAATTTACACAATTGTACATAAAATACAAAATTAACCATTTTGAAGTATATGATTCATTGGCCTTGAGTATATCACACTGTTGTGTTTCAGAACGTTTTCATTACCCCGAAATAAAACTTTGTAGCCATTAAGCAGTGAGTTTTTGTACCCTCTGTCTTAGTCCATTCTGTGCTGTTATAACACGTTACCCGAGACTGGGTGATTTATAATGAACAGAACCTTCCCACAGTTCTGGAGGTAGGAACGCCCGAGATTCAGGGCTGGCATCTTCTTGTTGCACATCCCATGGTGGAAAGGGGAAGGGTGAGAGAGAACAAGACAGGGCTGAACTCATCTTTTTTTTTTTTTTTGAGACAGAGTTTTACCCTTGTCGCCCGGGCTAGAGTGCAGTGGTGCGATCTTGGCTCACTGCCTGCTGGGTTCGAGCAGTTCTGCTTCAGCCTCCTGAGTAGCTGGGATTACAGGCGGATGCCACCACACCTGGCTCATTTTTGTAGAGATGGGGTTTCACCATGTAGGCCAGGCTGGTCTTGAATTCCTGACCTCAGGTGATCCATCCGGCTTGGCCTCCCAAAGTGCTGGGATTACAGGTGTGAGCCGCCACACCTGGCTGAACTCCTCCTTTTATAAGGAACCCACTCTGCAATGATGTCATTAATCCATTCCTGAGGGTTCCTGAGACACCTCCCATGAGGCTTTGGGATCAAGTTTCCAACACATAGCTTTGGGGGACAGTTCGATTCATAGCATCCCCTTCCTCCCAGCATCTGCTAACCACCAGTTTATTTTCTGTCTCTATGAATTTATGTACTCTGGACATTTCATGTCAATGGAATCATACAGTATGTGGCCTTTTGTGACTGGCTTCTTTCACTTAGCAACATGGTGTTTTGAGACAGGGTCTTGTACTGTTGCCCAGGCTGCCGTGCAGTGGTGGGAGCTTGGCTTATGGCTCACTGCAGCCATAACCTCCTGGTCTCAAGTGATTCTCCTACCTCAGCCTCCTGAGTAGCTGGGACTATAGGCAGGGGCCACCACACTCTGCTAAGCTGAATGTTTTTGAGGTTCCTCTATGTTGCAGCATGTATCAGTATGTAATTTCTTTTTTTTTGAGACAGAGTTTCACTTTGTTGCCCAGGCTGGAGTGCAGTGGCATGGTCTTGGCTCACTGCAACCTCTGCCTCCTGGGTTCACGCAATTCTTGTGCCTCAGCCTCCTGCATAGCTAGGATTACAGGCTCCCGCTACCATGCCCGACTGATTTTTTTTGTATTTTAGTAGAGATGGGGTTTTGCCATGTTGCCCAGACTGGGCTCAAACTCGTGAGCTTAGGCAATCCGCCCGTCTCGGCCTCTCAAAGTGCTGGCATTACAGGTGTGAGCCACAGTGCCTGGCCATGTCATTTCTTCTTGTGATGAATAATCTCTATGTTGTAGATGTATCACATTTTATTGTCTTGTTTATCTGTTGATGGACGTTGGGGTGATATATTCTATATTTAACTTTTCGAAGAAGCAGCTGCACCATTTACATTCCCACCAGCAGTGCATGAAGGTGAAATTTTATATCCTTGCCAGCACTTGTTTTTTTTTTATTACAGCCATTTTAGGGTTTGTAAAGTCATACTTCATTGTGTGTGTGTGTGTGTGTGTGTCTGTGTGTGTGTGTGTGTGTGTTGAGACAGAGTCTTGCTCTATTTCCCAGTCTGGAGTGCAGTGGTGTCATCTTGGTTCACTACAACTTCAAAAGATTCTCAGGCCTCAGCCTCCCAAGCAGTGGGACTACAGGCATGTGCCACCACGCCCAACTAATTTTTGTATTTTTAGTAGAGATGGGGTTTCACCATGTTGGCCAGGCTGGTCTTGAACTCCTGACCTCAAGTGATCTGCCCACCTCAGCCTCCCAAAGTGCTGGGATTACAGGCATGGGCCACCACACCCGGCCCTCATTGTGGTTTTGATTTATCTTTGCGGGATGACTCATGATGCTGAGCATCTTTTCATGTTTCTCTCGACCATTTGTGTATCTTTGGAGAAATGTCTATTTGAGTCTTTTGTCCATTTTAAAGTCAGGCTGTTTGCCTTTTGTTGTTGCATTTAAGAGTTCTTTAGGTGTTTGAGTTAATAGACCCTTATCAGATTTTCAAGTATTCCCACCCATACTGTAGGTTTTCTGCTTTCTTTTTTTTTTTTTTTTTCCTGAGACGGAGTTTCACTGTTGTTACCCAGACTGGAGTGCAATGGCACGATCTCGGCCATTCTGGGTTCAAGCAATTCTCCTGCCTCACCCTCCCGAGTAGCTGGGATTACAGGCATGTGCCACCATGCCCAGCTAATTTTTGTAATTTTAGTAGAGACGGGGTTTCACCTTGTTGACCAGGATGATCTCTTGACCTCGTGATCCACCCGCCTTGGCCTCCCGAAGTGCTGGGATTATAGGCGTGAGCCACCGCGCCCGGTCGAGGTTTTTTACTTTCTTTACAATGTCTTTCATGCACAAAGTTTTTTAATTTTGATGTATTTACTTTAATTTTTTTCTTTTTGTTGCTTGTGCATTTGGTGGCATTTAAGAATTCATTGCCAAATTCAAAGTGACGAGATTTTACTCCTATGTATTCTTACAGGTTTTTATAGTTTTAGCTCTTATATTCAGGTCAATTCATTTTGAGTTGGTTTTTGTATATGGTATGTAGTGTGAAGTAGGGGTCTGACTCCGTTCTTTTGAATGCGGATATCCAGTTGCCTCAGTTTCCTCATCTGTAAAATAGGGATAAGATTGTGAGGATAGGCTACTCTGGGCATATTGCCTATGGGGCACTGTTCCCTGCTCTGCAAGGAACAGTATTTAACAAAGATTGTAAGGATATTTTTTCTTCTGTTTTGAAAAAATATGATCTCTTTGAAGAAACTATTCTTTAGCCATTGAATGACCTTGGCACCTGTGTTGAAAATCAAATGTAGGTATTTGGGTTTATTTTTTGGCTCTGAATTCTATCCCATTGGTCTCTATGTCTGTCCTTATACTGCACTGTTTTGATTACTGTAGCTTTGTATAGTAAAATTTGAAATTGGAAAGTATGAATCTTTTAAACTTTATTCTTCTTTTTCAATATTATTTGGGCTATTTAGGGCTCCTTGAAATTCCATGTGAATGTGAGGATTGGCTTTTCTATTTCTGAAAAAAGAGAAAGGCTGTTGGAATTTTGGTAGAGATTACATTAAATCTGTAAATTGCTTTGGGTAGTACTGCCATCTTAACAGTATTGTCTTCTCATCCATGAACATAGGATGTCTTTGCATGTATCTAGATCTCTAATTTCTTCAGACAAAACACTGTTTGAAGAAATTAGAGATCTAGATACATGCAAAAGCCCTTTACCTCCTTGGTTAAGTATTTTTTTGGAGGCTGTTGTAAATACTTTTTTTTTTTTTTAAGAGAGTTTTGTTCTGTCAGCAGGCTGGACTGCAGGGGCCCCATCATAGCTTCAGTTTCTTGGGCTCAGATGATCCTCTCATTTCAGCCTCCTGAGAAGCTGGGAATTCAGGCACATGCCAGCCCACTCCTGGATAATTAAAAAAATTTTTTTGTGGAGACTGTGTCTCACTATGTTGCCCAGGCTGGTCTCAGACTCCCTGATATAAGCCCGTTCTGGCCTCCCAGAGTGCTAGGATTTTACAGGCGGGAGCCACTGTGCTGGCCTTTTATAGCCATGTCGAGGTAAAGTTGATGCACTCCATGATTCTTCCATTTAAAGTATACAGTTCATTGTTGATGGACATTAGGCTTGCTTCCTCTTGATGGCTACTATGGATAATGCTGCTGAGGACATTTGTGTGTGAAGTTTTTGTGTGGATGTTTCACCATCTCCTTTTAATCCTTAGCAGCTCTCTGAGGAGTGGGTTTCTCTCTCTCTCTCTCTCTCTGCGTGTGTGTGTGTGTGTGTGTGTGTGTGTGTGTGTGTGTGTGTGTGTAGGGGGCTTGGATTTTCATGGTCAGAACAGTTGGAAGGAGTCAAGGGGTGCTGGGAGGGTGTGGTGGCAGCACTACCCCGCCTGGCACAGAGTTGTTTTGGCATTTGATCTACCTGCATAGCTGTATTGGTGAATACCAGCCCATGGGATTTGGCCTTACAGGGCCACAGGGCATGTGTGTTTGGAAGCCTGGGCCTCCCCTGGGACTAGGCCACATGCTGAGGCAACTGGTGCCCCAGGGCACTGCCGCTGGTGCCTTCCTGGCAGACATGACCTGTGGATCACTGGGGCTCAGCCCAGCGCCCCAGTCTGCATCAGCAGGGGCCACCTGGAGGGCTCCTCCAGGAAAGGAGGAGTGTGTCCCCCTGCCCCCCCACCTGGCACCCCTTGGCACCCCTTAGTCACCATCATACTAGGCCTCCTGCCACCCACCTGGGACATCGCTCAACCTTGTGCTAACCTCTTCTTCCCCTCCTGCCTCATTTCAGGTGAATACATCAAGACCTGGAGGCCACGGTACTTCCTGCTGAAGAGTGACGGCTCCTTCATTGGGTACAAGGAGAGGCCTGAGGCCCCTGATCAGACCCTGCCCCCCTTAAACAACTTCTCTGTAGCAGGTGGGTCTTGGGACAAGTAAGCCAGTGTTCTGGTGCTTACAGGATGGCTGGCAGGTCGTGGGGGCTCATGGGACGTTGGTCACTGAGCCGTGGGCCTGACCTGGGCCTGCTTGCCCTTGGATCTGTTTCCCCCTTCTCCTGCTCTCCCTTTGTTAGCTGGCCAGGCAGGGCTGTCCTGAGGGGAGATGCAGAGTAGGAGGAAGAAGTCAGGATGCTTGCCCGCACCCAGCCCCGCCTCCTTGTGGCATCGCCTCCTTGTGGCTCCTGCTTCTGTCAGCCAGGCCTCATGGTCCCAGCTGCTGGCAGGTGCTTTCTGTCCTGTGCTTTGGTAGCAGTTTCCATCCTCTGTCCCTCAGACATAGAGGGGTTGCAGCTTTCCACTCAGCCAGTCGCCGGAGTGGCCTCGCGTCCTCTGTCCCTCTGTGATACCCAAAGGGATGCCTTCCAGCCGGACCCAGGCAGTGAAGTTTCACAAGCCCCAAGCCCTTGACTGAGCCTTGGAGAATGTGGTCCTGTCCGCATCCCTGCCACCTTCTGCCTTCTTCCTTTCTTGCTGACCTGATGGGTCACCATTTCCTGTTATTCTGCCAGCTAAGAACGTTACAGAGTCACCCCCATCTCCACTGCCAGTGCCTTAACCCAGACCACTGTCCTCTCCTGTCGTTCTCTGGAACCCAGCCCCCATCCCATGCTGTTCTGCGTGAAGCCTTTTCCTGGTTGCTCTCCACGTGTGCTGGTGACTCCAACACATCTGTTCCAGTGTCTCACTGGAACTCCAAGCCTGTCCCAGGCTGCTCCTTGGACATGTCTCCCCAGGTGTCCTCTAGGTCTCTCATACCTGCCACGTCCCAACCTCACCTTCAGGCTTCTCCCAGCTTTCTATTCCTGTCTCCATGTCAGGGACAGCAGGCCAGAGGCCTGGGCCTTGTCCTAATGCCCTTTCCCCATGGCCCATCTGCCTGCCGTCTCCTCCCCTCTACAGGGCTCCTCTCTGGTGTGGCCCCCTCCTCCCTAACTGGCTCCCTGCCTCTCTGGCCTCCTGACCTCCAGTCTCACCCTCTACATGGCAGCCAGAGGGCTCAGTCTGTCTGTTTGTGTCCCTTCCCTATCTAAAGCCGTCTGTGGCTCCCTGCTACCCTGAGGACAAAGTCCATATTCTTCCCTATGGCCTCCAAAGCCCTGCCTGGCTGGCCGCAGCCCACCTCTCCAGGCTCGTCTCTCACTTGCCCCTCCTCACCTTTGGAGCAGAAATGGCCACCCCCTGAATATGTCACACCCCCTCTCACCTCTGTTCTTCAAGTACCCTCTAAGTTCCCTTTTCCTTCAGGGCTTAGTTCAGAGAAGCTGCTTCCTCTGGGGAACCCCCTGTCTCGCCCTCAGGCTGGGTTGGATGCTGCATCTGAACTTCTGACACCTCTGGGCTTGTCCCTATCATGGCCTTGTCTATGGAGCCATCACTCTCTGGTGGGCTCCTCCTCTTCTACACACACACTAGACCCTGAGCCATGTGAGAGTAGGACCAGGGCTGTCTCAGTCCCTAGAGTGTCCCCAGCACCATCTGGCATGGGGCTGGGCATGTGGGAGGTGGCTCAGGCACTGTGGGCTGCAGGCTGGCAGGGCTGTCCCCTCAGCCCCCTCCTCTCTGTTCCATTGGCCTGCAGAATGCCAGCTGATGAAGACTGAGAGGCCGAGGCCCAACACCTTCGTCATACGCTGCCTGCAGTGGACCACAGTCATCGAGAGGACCTTCCACGTGGATTCTCCAGATGAGAGGTGGGTCTGGGCCTCCGTGTGGCTGCCCTTGAGAGGGACCAAGCCTAGTGTGAGAAGAAGGGGTACATACACAGCTGGAGAGATTTTCCCTGGGACCCTACATAGGGGTTTTGAGTCTGCACTCCTGTTGGTGTGGGGGTCTTCTCAGCTGGAGCTGAGAAGAGCTGGAGTTCTTAGTCTGAAGATCCCACATTGTCCTCAGACTTCAGGGTATATCAGAATCACAGGCAGAGCTTGTGAACAGTCTAGACCACTGGGTCTCGCCTTAAGACCTGTGACTACCTGGAGATCTGCCCAGGGTCAAGGACCTACATTCCTTTTTTTTTTTTTTGAGACAGAGTTTCGCTCTTGTTGCCCATGCTGGAGTGCAATGGCGCTATCTCAGCTCACTGCAACCTCTGCCTCCCGGGTTCAAGCAATTCTCCAGCCTCAGCCTCCTGAGTAGCTGGCATTACAGGCACGCACTATCATGCCTGGCTAATTTTTTGTATTTCTAGTAGAAATGGGGTTTCACCATATTAGGCTGGTCTGGACTCCTGAACACAGGTGATCTGCCTGTCTGCCTCTGAAAGTGCTGGGATTACAGGCGTGAGCCGCCATGCCTGGCTTTTTTTTTTTTTTTTTTTTTAAGACAGGGTTTTGCCGTATTGGTTAGGCTGGTCTTGAACTCCTGACCTCAGGTGATCCGCCTGCCTCAGTCTCCCAAAGTGCTGGGATTACAGGCATGAGCCACCGTGCCTGGCGCCTGGCTTTCTTTTTGAGACGGAATCTCGCTCTGTTGCCTAGGCTAGAGTGCAGTGGCATGATCTCAGCTCACTGCAACCTCCACCTCCTGGGTTCAACTGATTGTCCTCCTCAGCTTCTCCAAGTAGCTGGGATTATAGGCATGTACCACCATTCCCAGCTAATTTTTGTATTTTTAGCAGAGATGGGGTTTTGCCATGCCGGCCAGGTTGGTTGGTCTTGAACTCCTGGCCTCAAGTGATCTGCCTACCTCGGCCACCAAAGTGCTGGGATTACGGGTGTGAGCCACCCTGCCCAGGAGCAGCTACATTCTTAATGAGAATCTCTATTGATTTTGAGCCAGGTGGTCCAGAGAGTCATTTTAAAAAGATCAATTTAGTAATCAGAAGAGATGATAAAGACTCATCTGCTGGGCTTGGTGGCTCACGTCTATAATCCCAGCACTTTGGGAGGCCGAGGCAGGTGGATCACGAGGTCAAGAGATTGAGACCATCCTGGTCAACAAGGTGAAATCCCGTCTCTACTAAAAATATAAAAAATTAGCTGGGTATGGTGGTGCGTGCCTGTAGTCCCAGCTGCTCGGGAGGTTGAGGCAGGAGAATTGCTTGAACCCAGGAGGTGGAGGTTGCGGTGAGCCAAGATCGTGCCATTGCACTCCAGTCTGGGTAACAACAGAGAAACTCCGTCTCCGAAAAATAAAAAAGACTCATATGTTCAAAATTGAAACAGTATAAGGAGGTATCTAGTGGGAGCTTCCCCTCCCTGCCCTTTCCGTTCACCCCCTCACCCCACCCTCCAGTTAATCACTGTTTTTAGGTGCCCAGGAAGAACAGAGGGAGACCTTTGTGCTCTGCTGCCCTTGTTTTTTTTTCTTTTCCGACAAAAGGTAGCATTGTACACGCTCCTGGACTTACGTTTTGCCTTAGTGTCCCTTGGGGAGTTTGCCTTGATGTATGGAGAGATGCCGCTGCTTTGTTCCATGTTTCAGTTTTTTTCTTTTTGTACAGTTGGACATGTGTGTCCCAAGTGTGTTTATTTAGGCATTCTTTGCCTAAATAACTGGGGTTATTTCCAGCCTTTGGCTCGTTATAAGCAATGCTGGGGTGAAATAGCCGTGTCTGTCTCATTTGATGTGTGCACAGGTAGACCTGTCTGACAACTGCTTAGATGAAGGATTGCTGAGGCACCGGGAAAATGTGTTTGTAGTTTTGCAACGTTTCCATTAAGCAATGTCTGAGAGTGCCCTTGTGGCCTTGTGTTTTCGAACTTTTGGATCTATACCAGTCTGAGCAGTGGAAAATTCAGCGCCTCAGGGTGGTTAACTTGTGAGTTTCTTATTCTGAATTGTCTATATTGTCTGTATATTTTTCTGTTGGGTGGTTGGTCTTTTTCTTATTTATATATTAGCTCTTTATATATTAAGGAGCTTAGCCCTTTGTAATCAATGGGAAATGTTCCTTTTTCCCACTTTGCCCTTTTGGACCTCACTTTGAGAAATAGTCTTCTAGCTTTTTCACTTTCGGGAAGCGTCGGGATTAGGTGAAGGCATGCAGTTGTCTTTTGTAAATTAAAATGATAATTGAGCCAAAACTTACAGCCTTACCTGAAAGGCAGTGCAGTCAGGATATTGGTAGGTCTGGGACAGCTTTGGAAACCCTTAGGTTTACAAGCATGCGCGGACATGAGTGCTCATTAGGTCGAGGGGTAGCCACATGCAGCCCAGGACCCTGAACCCAGGCACGTGTGGGCCATGGGCCCACCAGGTTCCGTGCACCCGGGGACTCCGATGAAGCGTGTTAGTTTGGCTGTTGGTGTCATGTGGCCATCTTGAGTCTATTTGCTCTTCGTGCCTTAGCACCTCGAGAACCGTCAGTTTGCACCAGATGGAAGCTGAACTGAACACAAACACATTACGATGGATAATGGAAACACGAGACTCAGGAAATCAAAAGTGGTAATGGGTGAAGTCTATTCAGCATCCTGCAATGGATTTATCTTAGCTGGGGAAACGGATGTTTTGAATGATGTTCTAGAAGTTATCAGGGCACCCATTTTCAATATAGGCCTGAATTTTTTAACGTAACATTCAAGGTGGTCCTTAAATAAAATGCATAATTTTACGTGGTCTGAAAAAAAAAGAGAGAAATAGTCTTCTAGCTTTTCCATGGGGTAAGGTTTCAGCAGACCCTCTGGAGAGCCCTGAAATAGGAGAAAGAAGAAAACTTTCTGCCGTTGGGGAAATGCTCTGTATCTGCACTCTCCAATAGGCACCTATGCCGATTGAGCGTTTGAAATTCAGCCACCAGGGAATGGATTTTTTAAATTTATTTTAATTAATTTAAATCACCATGTATGGCTAGTGGCTACCTTCTTGGACAGTACAGTTCAGAAGTCTACAATATCATGAGACTTGTTACTACAATCTATACTATAATTATCATTGTGTATCCTCCCAAGGTAAAAAATATACTTGCCCCACTAAGGGGAACAAAATTACCCTCTCAAGCCAACTGAGGTGCTACTCAATTGAAAACTATGGACCAAAACATGAATGGCCAGTAAAAACAGATCAAGACCAGTAGGTGTCTAGGTCCTGGGTGTTGGGCTGGGTTTTGAAGGCTGGATAGGAATTGGCCACAGAGCGAGCAAGCAGAAAAGTTCAGAAGGGACAGCATATGCAAAGGCCTAGAGGTGAAATAGCTCATGCTTTGCAGGGACCACAGGAGGTTCTATGTCACCAGAGAATCCAGGGGCCAGGAGTGTTGGAAGAGGGTAATCGGAGGTGCTCAAGGCTGGAGAGCTCAGCCAAGGCCTCGGACTCCAGGTGGAGATCCCCACAGGGCTTGGCAGGTGCTTAATAAATTGGGGTTTGTCCCAGGGTTGTTACACGACGCAGGGGGATGATAAACAGGAGAGGCTGATGCAGCAGTACCTGGCACAGTTTGCAAGCCTGGAACGGGAGCGGGGGGAGCCGCAAGGTGTTTCAGTACGCAGGAGGGATGATCTCGTTTCCATTTGCACAAGACAACATGCCCTTTCCTTTACCACGATTGTGTAAGCCAGAGAGCCCCACCTGCCCTTTCTTCTTGGTACCTGCTGCTGTTGCCAAAGAGAATACTGCTGGAGCTACTCTTGGAGACCAAATCCCAGGTTTCTGACCTTAAGTCTGGGTGGATGGAGGGGGTGCGCCAGAAACCCAGCAAGAGGCAGCCCCCTCCACTCTGCTCCTGGCTGACTGATGCTGTCCTTACAGCCCTAGCCCACAGAGGCTGATGCCAGCTGGCCTCTCCTGAGCCTAGGGAGGGATGCAGGGGTTGCAGGGCAGGTGGGTGCCACTCGGTGACTGCCTGTTGGTTAGGTGCTGCAGCGCCTCCTCACTGGGCTCCTGGTGGCCTCTCCAGCTGGAGAGACCCTCCTCCCTGTCCTCCACTTCACTGCAGATATGTTGTTTCAAACAGAGAAAGGTTGAAAGGGTAGTGTAATGAATGGACGTCCAGGCGCCCCGCTCCTGGTCCCGCATTCACCATGTCTGCCTCATCTGGCTGTGTTTTATGCGAAACCTGAACTGGCATTCATACTTTGTGACACTGTACTCCTTACAGCCATGGTAAGCATCTCCTAAGAATGAGGACTTTCTTCTACAGAATCATGATACTGTCATGCCTGAGACAGTTAAAAATAATTTGTTTACTAATAGCTTCTCCTTATCCATCCATTCTTGAATTTCTTTGGTTACCTTTTGAAGGATATGCAGCCTGTAGAATGTTGTTTTTCAAACCAGGATTCATTCAAGGTATATGTCTCTTTGACCTGTTGTATTTAATCTAGTTCAGCCCTTTGTCCTTTTTTTCCCTCCCAAAGACATTGATTTTTTTTCCCTTTTTTTTTGACAAGCCAGGCCAGTCGTCTTGTAGAATGTCACACCTTCTAGGTGTGTCATATTAGTGTCTTTTGGTGTCATTTACTTTTGTTCCCCATGTCTGTATTCTTGTAAACTAGAATTCGGTCTGGAACAGGGTAGGCAAACTATGGCCCTGCCCTCTATTTTTGTAAATAAAGTTTTATTGGAACATGACCATGTCCAGTTTGTTCATGAATAGTCTGGCTGCTTTTGCCTTACTATGGCTGAGTTAAGTCGTTGTGACAAAGACTGGCTTGCAAAGCCTAAAACATTTAAGAATTGGCCCCTTAAAATTTTAATAAAATTTTTTTTAATTTAAACCTTTTTTTTAAATTGACACGTTCTTGCTCTGTTG